GAAACAAAAGAATTAACAGAGCTTTCAGCTAATCAGTTTCACCTGCCAGATTGAGCACACACACCACAGACTGCTGTTAATAAGGATATTTTACATCAGACACATGGCACTGTTTATGAAAAATCATGCTACAGTTTTACATTAAAGGAACCTATTTGTTGTTTGTCGGAGGGGAGGCGTTCAGGCTCACGAGTTGCTGCGGTAAATAGTGATGTCACAAATGTTTAACTCAATCTGCTCTCCGGCCAGTATGAAATAACTTCCACTCTTAACTACAACTTCCACGAACAACAATCAAAGACAGCACTTTGGAAGCTGCAAGCACAACATCTGCGCACCGTTGCGAATCAAAACAAGAGTCAGACGCTGCAAAGCTTGGAACAAGCTGATGTCATAGAGATCTGACTGTCGCAAGGTCTGTTTGTAAAACAAAGAAGAAATGCAAAAAACACTGGAACGAATTATGGCCTGCTTTGAAAAAAGTGCAAAGGAAATGCTTTGGGTAGATAGGATTACCTTTTGTTTTGATTTTGTTTAGGTATTGATTTTCATATAAAAAGTCTGATTTTGTTTGATTTGTACACAAAATGACGTGAAAAGTAGATATTTGGCATAGCATCACCGCTTCAAGTCTCGGTGAGTAATCAGACCTATGACACTACACCAAAATAAAAGAAAACAAAGCAAAAACACAAGTGAGCAACGTTTCTTTGAGGTGACTGTTAAAGTTTCATTTATTTAAATATTTATGACAATTTGTTGGTGTCTGAAAATAAAAGCTTCAGCAAACTTGACTCACCAGCATACCTCTGTCCGTTCGTCATTCCAAACAACACCGTGCCAAATCCTATGCCATTACACATTATCCTTTAAGCAGTAGTTCTGATCTTGTGACGCAGGGTTCTGTGAGACATCATGTTGTGGAAAACTCTTTGAATAAATCCGAATTTTCTTCTGATTGAACTGACAAGCTAATGGCTGGTCTAAATAGGAAAAATACTAAAGTGGATTGCTGCCGTTTTAAAACAACTTTAAATTTAAATGATTTCTTTGTGGTTTATGAGAATACTGTTTTGTAAACATTTACATTTACATTTACACAGTAAAGTGGCCCTGTGACGGACTGGCAACCTGTCCAGGGTGTACCCCGCCCTCGCACAGTGACTGCTGGATATGGGCACCAGTGACCCTGAAAGGAAAAAGCGGGTAATAGATAATGGATGGATGGATGGATGGATGGATGTTGTACAGTAATAAAAAATACATATATCCTAATAATACTAGAATTCTGTGCTTTGTAATCTTTGTTTTAATGTAACTGCAACAATTAAAACAATGTATGTATTTATTTGACCGATGTCTCTGTTGTCATTGAATAATCTTTTAATGGTAAGATCAGTGATAAAAAAAKATTTATTTTAACCTTGGTTCTTCTGTAACCTTGCACACTATTACGTCTTGGTTTACAGTGTAACAGTGATGCCTGTTGGTTAATCACAGAATGATCCACCTCCATTTGTACTTCTCTCTGACTAGAGTGACTAAACCTCTCTTGATCTTTTCTAACGCAACGAGCATCAAGAAGTTTTTGTCTGAGGTCTCAGAAACCCTTTTTGTTTGCACAATGATATAGTTCCCAAACATGCCATGATCGACAAATCATCATCTATCCTTAAAGGGATCCCCGATTCATTGTAACGTTAAACTTTATTTGATAAACGTGTATTATAACTGTAAAATAAAGACTGTAAAAATACTGTAGGATGTTTAGTTTTGTACATTTTTTAAATATATATTTTAACATGGACAGGGCCATTTTATTTACATACAAAGCATTCTGGGTAAATGATGACGTGGATAGGTCCTCGGTGTGAGCGAGCTATATCCACCCTGAAGGTTAATCTTGGACAATATCTGATGATCGACTCTTTTAAATGAAACCAGAGAGCGTTGACAGAGAGGAGAAGGTAGAAATGACTCAGCCTGTAACTRAAAATATGGATGGAGGACAACAGAGCTGCTTCATGGAAGAAGAACCTCAGCTTAGCCTGTTAGTCTTTGCGCTAGCATTGTCAGTTTAACAAGCCGCTGACCCACATCGCTGCTGATATCTTCAGCCAGAACACCAACTACAGACAGTCGATTTCAGCTAAAGAGCTCCTGTCCTTCTGTTTCAGGTTAATAGGCAACATTCAGGAAACTGTCACGTGCAAAAATGATTCTCTCTGATTGGTTGACACAGCGCGTCAAGCAGCAAAAGTAAATTTTTTTTAAACTTGAGTGTCGGCTGCTTTGCAGCATGCACGGAGAACGCTCTATTGCACCTACCGCTTCACGCCGTGCTAAACGAGCTAAACGTGCCGCGCTGCCCCTAGACACGCATCCACTATGGACTTTGCATGTAAACTGGCTGCTCAAAACGCATCCTGTGTGAACCCGGCTTTAGTCTTATATTAAAACAGGAAGCTTCTCATGCCATATTTTACTAAGTGAAAACAACTGAATTCTTTACCTTCAACTTTATTTCACATCAGGTCCGAAGGTTCGAATCMCCCAGACATTCATACATTTGTAATACTAGATCATCTTACAATTCTCACAGAGACCTGGTTACACCCGCTGATCCCAAATGCTACATTATAGCTCGCAGGACACACTGTCCATCGCCATGACAGAAAAAAAACAACAACCCTGTAGCCGCTGTTTCTCCAGGACAAAGAGGATCTTCAAAGATCAGCTCCATCCTGGTCACCAGCTGCTCAGCCTGCTGCCCTCCGGCAGAAAGTACAGRAGCATTAAGAGCCACACCATCAGACTCAAAAAATGTTTCTTCCCATGGGCCATCCGGACTCTGAACATTAGCCAAACATCCTAAGAGCAATAACTACTTTATTATTGGTTTTGTCTTTGTATGTGTGTTGCTGTTGTCCTACATGTCTTTCTATGTTCATTTTTGTTGTACAGGCTTGTTCACTGACAATAAAGTCTATTCTATTCTATTCTATTCTATTCTATTCTATTCTATTCTATTCTATTCTATTCTATTCTATTCTATTCTATTCTATTCTATGAATTATTGTGTTTAATCTGTACAGTGGTACTTTATATAGAACCAAACAAAGTTTGACAAAAGTTTTTACATGATTTGTTAACAATGAAAAAAATACATACGTATATGTATGAAAAACATGAGAACATGTGGAAAAGGATAGCATATGTTTTCTCTCTACAAAATATGCTAAATTCAAATAATCCAGCTTAATTTTATTTGAATAAAAAGCAAGAGTTCAAGTCTTTCATAGATAATTGTGATGCTCTATTCATCAAATGGCAGTGAAACAAAAGCTGGTATCCATCTAAAACTAATACAAGATTAAACAGATAAACATTTGTCCAACACCACATTATGGATGATACTAAGATCTATACAGTGTGAACAAGAATACTTATGTTAACTTTCTCCGAAAGTAGGAGACTGTTTCTTTGTTTTTCTGTGTTTTCATTGGAATGTGAGTTAGGTCAATGAATCACTGTCATGACAAGAACAATTTGAGCTGTGGGGGGTACAGTAATCACTAATGGAGCATATCTAAACAAAGACCGATGACAGATGAAAGATTTGGAGGAAACCAGTTTAAATCTGTCATCGGTTTGATTTTTAGACACTCCGAACACCTAAATCAACGTCATGGTGTTTTACTGAATTCTGAACTGAACTGTTGGTGGCTGTTTTTTTTTTTTCACCAGACCCAAGTGCAAAAACTTCMCTTTAAAGTGGTGCTCACAGCAAACTGTGATCCAACCCAGACTTTTGTCTAGTTGCCATGTTTTTTCAATCTCGCAGCCAGACGGCACTGTTATTGTTTCAGTATGTCAGCGTCAGACACTCGGGTTCAGTGTGACAGAYTGCACTTTGTTGGTGGGAGGGCAACTCAGAGAAAACACATATTTCTGTAATTTCATAGACTGATTACAGTTAGCAACAGTCTATGCATTATTAGAATGCCTTGGTTGTTTGATATTCCTCAAAAACCTGAGCGAGGAACAGACCTCCAAGGTTTTGCAAATTCTTGAGTTCTACTGATAATTTCGTTGAAGTTGATGATCAATTTGCTGGAAGGAATGCACGCCTGATCTGAAGTTACGCTTCAGATTTATGGACATTCAAAAACAAAAACTGAGTCAGTGTTGGCATCACTGTCGTTTATCTACACAGCATCCACACCCTGAAAACCTAATAAATGAATAAATAAAAAACTGAACCACTTCCATTTAAGGTGTTTTTACACCTCATGGCTCAACAAGATACACATCTCCATAATGATTGATTGCATTCCTCATGAAAGGTCAACTTTTCAGGGTAGGGGACTGGGCAAGAATGACTGACTCTTAAATCTCAAAGGTTTTAAATGGCAAACTAACAGAAGGCTGCAGACATCAAGATAGAAAAAGACACAAAATTGTGCTCAAGTCCAAACTCAAGAACTGTGGTACCTGAGTGGAAACCCTGGAGAACAGTGCTCTCAGCATACATAACATAAGTTGTATGTATTGTCTGTAAATTACACACATTTCCCACACAATAATGAGATTTGTGCTCTGCATTTGACCCATCACACATGAGAAACACCCAAGTGGAGCAGTGATCAGCTGTTTCAGTGCCCGGGGAGCATTTGGGGTTTGGGTGTCTTGCTCAAGGATGCCATGACATGTGGGCATGGTGGTGAGTCGAACCTGTGACCTTTCTGGGCCCAGGTGGCTTCCCTACCAGTGCGCTATGGTCGCCCCTGTCAAGAAGAAGTCCTGGACAACAATAACTCAGACTCAAACTCCATCGATGATAATGGCTCAGTCCATCAATAAAACAAGAGGTGCTTTGCAGGTAGGTGACCAGTCAGTCAGGACTTTTAATACTTGTGGTTTGCTTGACTTTAACATCTCTGATACATTTAGTCTAGTTTTTATAGACAAAAAAAGGTGACAAAAAAAGACAACTGTACCTGGGCCCCAGCTCATCCTCACACCTCCATGTGAATTCTCCAAAGCTCTCATAGCGCTGGTTATAGTGGTAAAGCACACGGTGCAGGGTGGGAGCACCCAGGTCCATCAAAGTGTTGTAGGCTGTCTGCTGCTCTTTCCCACTCGTATAGCCATTGAACAGGTTATAAATCTTGTCTGCAATTTCTGAAAAGACACATAAAATCCAAAGTCAATAAGAGCTCTTACATAGCTGATGTTGGATTAACTCAACATCAGATGAAACAATGTGTGGGAAAACAATTTAACTACATTAGTAATGGCAGATGTAAGCTAGTAAGGGAAAACATCTTTCCTTTTTGTGTGACTGTTTATCCACACTAAATCAAACTGTATGGGTTTGAGGTCTAGCAGCGCCATCAGCTAAACTCAGTCATTATGTTATACTTCCTTTTCTTCAAAAGTCGGACCTCAGTTCTGGGAGTGATGTCAACTAACATAATAACGATCCTCTTGCATTTCTGAAGACCAGCTTGTAGCAGCATGCTTCTTATTGGGGATTGTAAAGTACCATGTGTGACTTTTAATGAAATTTGACAAGTTTGTTTCTGCAGCTATCACCACTTATAATGCTCAAGGCAGCCATATTAGAGTTTGTGGTCAAGGTTGGTTAGAGACCCATTTACTTTCTGAGCCAGAATTTTGACTTCAAGGGGTATTTTAGTTCAGTTTTCTTACTTATAAACCTTCCAAGTACTGATGGAGCGAACTTATAGTTTTACATTGTATATTAATAAAATATCTATCGTTTCCCTGAATTTCCACAGAACATACCAAACCCCATTACTCATTATGTTTTTGCTATTTTCTTGAGTTAGTTTGATGGAACGTGGTTTTACTAAATTTAGAGTCACTGTGGATTGTGAAACATTAAATGTAGCACTTCGAGAAAGAGAAAAGTTGAGGAACCATTGTGACAGAGAACTTGAGGACATAAAGCTTGTTTACTAGGTCATGACACTTTAACAACAAAGCAGGGCTCACCTGTTCAATGGCACAATTGAATTATTTTACTTACAGTTACAGGCTGTAAAATTGTTTCTACTGTAAAGTTGAAGATTTTATCAGAGCGCTCAATTAGAAGGGATTAGTTTTGGCTCCCATTTAGCTGTATAAAGTATTTAAATTTCAGGAATTTAACCTTTTGTGACTTGGCCTAAAACTTAGCAGGTTGGTGGCAATGCACCAATACACATTCCTGAATAAACACATTTTCTTTCTAAACAAGCATAGGCAGCAAAGTAAATCCACATTATAAGAGAACCTTGGCTGTTGTTAGTGTGATATTTGTTGTTCTTACAAACTGTATTTCTAATATGTGAGAACTGTTGTTCTGCCCTTCATGAGCTGAAACCACTGAAAAAGACTGATTCAAGTCAGTACAAATCTTGTTAAATTTCTTCTATTTTCCAGTTTATTATTGAACTTTTTTCCACTGTCATTCCAGTTTGTAATTGTTTTTTTTTTTATATCAGATTCTGTGAAATGGGGTTGTTTTAGTAGACTGCATTAACTTTATGAGGTTCTCAGTGTCTTTTCATTGCCATTGTGAAATGGTATAAATGGGCTATTTTTATGTAGTGCAACCATACTGTACAAGTTAATTTATATCACAATGAAAATTCATACAAATAAAAATAATTTATTTAACTTTGCTTGGTCTTAAATAACACTAGCAACATGACACTGGAGCAACATTTTTAGGATGCTCCCTGATATTTAAAGCCTCACAGCTTTTAGAATTTAAATTGTTTTCATTTTTTTATTTTATGTAATTCTGGATRAAGATAAACGTTAAGGCAATATTAACAGCTGATTTTTTCTTTCTTTGCTATTGCTTTGTGTCTGCTTGGGCCAAGAGATGTTAAAAAATCCTGACATTAATATGAGGTGTTTGAGTGTTGAGCTATCTGTAGTTTATGTCTCTAAATAGTTTTTTAGCCATACTTTCAATGACAAACTAGTCAATTTGCATTTATGCTTTTAGGATTCTCTTARCTATGTGCTTACAGTTTCAGTGTATCCAGTGTTGTGTATTGCATTTCCACTTTTAGGTTACTGATATGTCTCAAAACAAGCACGTCTTGTTGTTAACTCCATACATGTCAAGTATGGATTGTCCGTAATTTACATGGATTTTTCGTCATTTTGCAGGTATGCGGATGTATAGAGCAATCTCGTGGATTTTTTCATGTTTTACAGATTTTTTTCAAAAACTCTGTTTCAAATTTATTTAACATGTCAGAGCCTGTAGAATGTTAAAAAAAAACCCAACAATAATTAACATCAAATAATCATCTTCCAAACCTCTCTGGTGCTAGAAACAAATTCTCCCATCTTCATTTCCTCCTGCTTTGCTGCCCCCCCCACTCTGTGATTAACATGGAGTTTTTTTATTATGGATTTTTGAGGCTCATTATACAGGTAAGCAGCCAAAGGAGTATGATTACAAAAGAAGAGGTTGAAAATACATAGTCTTTTTTTTTAAACTGGGATATATTCACAGGTTTTTCATAGACGGTCATGTTAGGAGCTCATCCACACTTCTGGATAATAATAAACTCAGCTGCAACCAGAGCCAGTGGAAGTATTGCATTTCACACGATTGATTCTTTTCCAGACATTAAAATTAACAACATAAGCCCCAGCTGGATCGTACTTCATTGAATAGTGCATTTTTGCAATATCTCAACAAAATCAGCAGCAGGGTCCACAATAACATCTTTCCTATGAAGCTCTCATTGGTTCAGAGGGTAAACAAAGACTTCAGCGCTTTAATTTCTGAGATGGAATGATGGATTTTTTTTGGTCAATATCCTCATGGAATTGAAGGCTTCAGAAACCATCAACAGTTCTACTCTGGAGAGGAAAACTATGTTTATGACTCACTCTATGAACTCATGTGACATCTGTTTAGTGAGAAACAAAACGTCTAACAGGTAGAGCAGAGATCTGTCCTGTAAATTCATTCTTCTAAGTACATTAGGACCTATACACTATTTTCAGCTTTCTGACACATCATCATCAGAACCAACTACGGTGTGTTTAGTTCAGCTGTCCTCCCTCACCCTGCGCTTTGACGTCATCCACAGTTGGACATGGAGTTTTGATGGTGACCTCACTGGGACTGGAGCGGCGTCCTGTGTTGTCTACTGCCCACAGACGGAACCTGAGGACACAAACAGACACAAAGGCACACAAAACCAGTTAACAAAATCTGCAGCAAAGCCTGCAGTTAAATAAATCAACTGTGGCAAATTGACAACTAATGACTTTATTGCAACTTATAATCCAATTAAGAACCACACTGTGATGAAGTTAGTTGCATCATCGGAACAGAACTTTCTCTTGTGTTGGCTGATGTCCTTCCGTACCCAATCAGTTGTGATTTCACTGAATGAAGATCTCCACCTTGTGGTCTAAGCGTAACTTGCAGCCTCCTGCTGTGTGAAACTGAATGCAACATAAACATCTCTTTTTTWAAATCTAAAGGCATGTAGACACATGTTAAAGAGAAAGTTTAAGCATCATCGTCTTTCTTTTGCCTAATGAGGCATTAGTCTCTTTTTTTATCATACCATATCTCTTTAAATAATGGTACGGAGTGTGAAGTTAAGAGAGAGATAAAGAACCAGGCTTGCAAAGATGAATGAACAGACAGCCAAGATAAAAGAAGAGCATAGGTTTTGTCAAAGTTTGACATAAAAGGGCAAACAATATGTAGTAGCTACTTCAGCTCATATACATTCAAGAAGAGTGCTTTTGTCTGTTTTGGCCTTTTTTCATATCTTTTGTATATATTTATGCTATTTTTGCTTTGCTACATGTGTAATTTTTCACAGTTTTGTTTGCCTCAATCTTAAAACTTGATTTAACATCTTTTGGCTGACACTTTTCCTGTTTTCCATCATATTCTTCCCCTTAAAGACCTGTGTGCGTGACTTCCTTTCTGGCAAGCGTGAGTGTGAACATGTTCGTGAGGTGAACTGAGCACCCAGTCTTGATCACGGTATCGCTTTGTTAAGTAATACATAGGAATCACACAGTCACCATGGATACATCGCAAGTCCTTCTCAGTTGTACACTTTTTTTCACAAACCTATGCTTTGTCAGTTATTTTTCCGTGCGCCTTACTAGAGCTGCAACCTATTCGACTTTCACTGAACACTTCAGCGCAGCACCATGGGTTGCATCATCAGCATGTTTTTAGGATGCAGTGCTGTCTTTTTAAGGCCTTGTTCACATGCAAGCTGATTTTTAAATTTGTTTTCAATCACACAAAAAGACAGAAAATAGCCAGAAACACTATCATTGAGGGCCTTTATGGGGCTATATCGTTGCCACAAAAATACACAAAAAATAAGAATCAAGGTATGGAGCATGTGCGTAAAGCCAGCATGCTGGGCACTAAATGTAAACAAAACAAGAAAAAGATGTTCTTGTGACGTAGGTTAAATTAGAGCTGTGGCTATGACATCATTGCTTTCACTCTGAACTTGTTGGGGCACCTAAAACACTGTTTCCATATAGTGAGTGAAAACAATGAAAAATTTCACAAAAAAAAACTGTTTTATTTAGATGGCCCCATGTGGTCCAAATCTCATAACTTTTGCACCAAAACTATTTTACACACTCCGGTTTAGCCCTGTACTCAGAAGTTTAACCTCAGGATCTGGCTCAGTCATATTAATTGTACCAGTTTCAACTACACTCACCGGCCACTTTATTAGGTACACCTGTCCAACTGCTTGTTAACACTTAATTTCTAATCAGCCAATCACATGGCGGCAACTCAGTGCATTTAGGCATGTAGACATGGTCAAGACAAGAAGAAAGGTGATTTGATTGCCTTTGAACGTGGCATGGTTGTTGGTGCCAGAAGGGCTGGTCTGAGTATTTC